GTCAATCTGTCTGAAACCCCAATGCTCAAGTCTAAGCAAAGTTCACCTAATTTTACAACAGGAAGTTGGGTAGTCTCAAAGTTATAAGCTCCTCTGCTTTGCTCTTCCAGCTTTCTTCAAATATAAATTATTTACAGCAGGAAACCAAATGACAGAACTCTTTCACTCAATAAAGTTCACACCTCATGTCTTCCTCCTTTTGCAAACAAAAATATTACTAAATGAACATTCAGAAACATTAAGTAAGCAACACCTTTTATGGTCCTGTGTACCAGTTTGTGTTCCCACTGTGACCTCTAGAACAGACACAGATTAAATGAAATAGGATCCAAAGGTGCATATCCAGGCTAGGAGTCACTTAACAGTATGGATATACAAATAACAAGTAAATCTTGATGAAAGAGAACATCTGACAGGAACACAGAAATCAAAATCAATATTTTGCTATCTAAATAAAAACTAAGCTTTCAAAAATAAACTCTACACTAAAAGCTGTCTTTCCCTAGAAACAGAAACAATACCTGCGGTTTCTGAACAGTGTATCAAAAATGCAAATAGAAGGAGAAATGTAACTTGAAGATCAAAGTCTCACCTTGTTTAAGCCCAAACTGCTCAACTGTTGCTCCACGGAAGAAATAAAGTTACCTACATTTGGCAATTTAATAACAAACAACAAAACTTGGCACAAAAAATGAAATCAACCTGACCAGCAATGAAGTGGGATCAGTGATGTTGGTTCCAAAGGGACAACCATCTAAACTCACATGACTAAGAGCTACCTCAGATTTATCTTAAAAGGATGAATCAACCTTGTTTTTCTTATGACTTTCTACAGGGAACAAAAAACCAACAACAAAAAAAACAACAAAAAAACTCCAACCCCCCCAAAACAAAAGCCCACAAACTATAAAAACACAAACAACCCCCCAAAAACACACAAAAAACCACAAAAAACACAAAACCAAACAAAAAACAACAAACCTCCAACATAAAAAACAAAACAAAACAAAACAAAAAACCCACAAAAAACCCCAAAAAACCCCACAACAAAGCAAAAACCCACTACAGCCCACTTCTGACATAAACTAGTGAAACTAGTGAAGCATAAACCATGTGGGCTGCAATGATTCATCAGAATTTACATAGTAGCTCTATGCAAGGGTTTCATCTCCTTTCAACAGGCAACCAAGCTTAATAGCCTTGATCTGCTCTGTGAAAGCTATTATTAAGAAAATCAAGGCAAAACATAGCTCCAGCTGCCAGTAAAAGAGTTGCAGTAATCAGGGCTGAAAGAAGAGGAGTGATAATTATCTTCTACTCCAGGCATAGCAGCAAACTGCAGGCATAAACTTCTATTACTGCCATTATTGATGGCCACATTTCTAAATTTAACATCAGACTCCTAGAACCTACTTGTGCCCACAAATTATTTTAATTCATAGCAAATGACTAGCCAGGGCTGTAATCAATGAAAAAGGTAAGGGTAGAAATCTCTTTTGCTTCTCCTTTAAGTCAGCATTTTCGAGCAACTTCCTGAGCATAATCTTGGAAATAAAAGAAATAGAGCATTCACCTGTTGACACACATACACAGATGGTACACTGAGCCAAACAGCAATTCATGAGGCCAATGTGGATGTTCAGGGTGAGCTCTGCTAGCCAGCTGCCACCTTTCCTCCTGGCAAAATTAGTTGACATGGGAGATGAGGGGGAAGAGAGTGACTGATTAGGCAGGATTTAGCAACTGTAGCAAGGCACTGTACAACATACCCCAGCCGTCCACCTCCCTGCAAGAAAAAATAAGGTCATCCCTCATGTAATGGGAGCAGTGCATAGAACAAATTGACTTTAAGGTGCTACAGGGACCAGAAGATTTGGCCACAGTCCCCTGGCATTGTTGGCCTCCTGAGTATGCAGAGACCCAAGCACGCTTCTCTCCTTGTTACAATAACCTGGGAGACCTCATTCCCATTTTCTGCTCCATCTGCACATTCCCCTGCACGGCTGCCAGCGCTGTGGCCTGCTGCAGGGCTCAGTGTTCAGACCATGGCACCTGATTCCATCAGCAGGGTCACCAATGAGTGGAGCAGAGCGCTGCATGCACGTGGTTCACTCTTCAGCAGAGTCTCATTGCCCACCCCTGTGCTGCCTTCCCCTGAGCCTCACTCCAGGCAGGGCTCCGAGGTGCCACGTCCCTGTTTGATTAGCCCCAGTGCTCCATGGTGGTAATGCTAGGCTCCCATAAAGCCAGAGTTTTCACTTGCTGAGTGCTCTGCCTCACCCCTGAGGAGCCTGCACTGCCTTTCATTCATAGCATGTGCAACTAAGCCAGCTGAGGGGCTTCAACAGGTGAGGCTCTGGGGAGTTCATGGGTTGTTTGCTGTAAGTTGCACAGTCACCACTGTCCTAAGTGAGGGCATAAGATAAATCACCGATCCCTTTCAGTGGGGAAGTGTCTCCACGGGAGAAAGAGCAGCTGCCATACCAAAGGCACAGAGGTAGAAATAGACAGCTGTAGCAGAAGTGGTGAGCACTAGCTAAGGAGGGTTCTTTAATGAGCTTGTAGCTCATAGGTGCAGACTGAGGTTAAATTGTGATTAGAGCCTCATTGCTTCAGTTGCCAGTCTTTGAGTCACAAGCGACCTTTACAGATAATTTCTTACTAAGTGGTTCCCCAGGGTGCATTCATTTGCTCCACCATTGCTACCACAAACCACCACGTGCGGCCCACCACAAGGCCTCGGTAAGTAGATTGTTGATAACCTTTCTTGGCCTAGGTCTGCTCACATTTTGATGCACAGGAGCATTTTGTTCAGGGTTTTATAGTTAACATTAACAATGTTATAATAGTTGTCACCTGCACTGGTATCTGGTGTGGGTGTCGTCACATGTGTTTCTTGAGTTTTGTACCTGCTTCTGTAGAGATGGTGGATTATGAACACCCACTGAAAGGGTCATACCACTATCAGATTTTCCCATTTGCATGTTAGAAAAGCATTCTCCAGAGAACTCAACTCAGACTTCTCCCCTTCCTCTAAAACCACAGACATGCTTATGCATTTCTGTAGGCTTCTTACCCACATTCGTTCAACATGCACCTGCCACAAAAAAAAAAACTCCAAAAAGCTTTATAGCTTTAATAGCAAGATAAAATTATGAAATTTATTCTTCAGCTTGAAAATATTCAATTTAATTTTGTAAAAAAGCAGTGGAAAATATACAGATAACTAAAAGCCAGAAAGAGAAATGTCCTACAAGTAAATAGGACTTTTAGGGTAAGATCTGAATTGTTACAATTTTTAAGGTAATGTTTTGGCCAATTTTTTTATCAATACAGTAGTTTATTTTTGTTAAGTTCACCTCCCTCAGCATAAAGTACATGGACTTTTTGGGCAGACATTGGTCTTTTGAGGATCCTTCTCTTCTTGAATGATCTGTCAGGTATCTGCAAAATGCTTTCTTAGCTTTTGAGTAGTTGCAAGCAGCTCATTCTCTCTGACGAGATGATAAAAGAACAGGACATTTTAACTACTTTGACAAATTGGAGTTTATCCAAATCCTTCTCTGGGAAATTAATTTTGTACATATGAATCTGAGGTGTGTTTTTTAAAAGATTATGCAACTAGCAATTGAAACTTCTACTTCAGTTAAGACTTCAAGGCAAATACATGCCTTACAAAATGCCCAAGTTATTCAGTGACAGGATGAAGCAAGTCTTCACCCCAGTCAGGTTGAGGAAATCAGAAGTTAGTATTTCTATTATAATGTAATTAAATTATGAGTCTGGATCAGATATTTGAAAGTGTTTAGTACCTACCTCTTCCTGGGTAGTTTAAAATGCAAATATCCAAGAAGCTGGGTTTTTTCTCCATCAGCCAAATAGCCTTTTTGCAATTGAGTTACTGAGGTTATTCAGAAGGGTCATAGACTCAGCCACAATAGGTTATTTAGACTATAAGAGATAGATATGTTTTAATACTAGCAGTTTAGTTGTCCTACAAGCTTGCAGGTCCTTCAAAACTGTAAACACTAAAATAAATACTAGAATGTCTTTTATTGTATTAGGGGAGCTCTAGTTACCAACTATCATTTTTCTGTGTCCCACATTAAAAAGCAATATTAAAGTTGCAAAGCCCTGAAAAGGTCCTCCATGCATTCCCTTTCTGCACAATAGACTTGTTCAGATACTTTTCCCTCTTTTGCCCCAATCCACCCATAGCACTGGTTTAAAGTATGAGTAGCTATGCTGTTTTCTCATCAATGCCTGCACAGCTTTCTCAGTCTGCTCACAAAGTTCAGCTTGTCATTATGATTTTTTCTATGATAGTAATTTTAAATTATCAACTTTATGAATTAATCTATTTCCACAGCAACTTTGACACAAATAAATATTGATAATCTCAGTTTACCAAAGGGCTTGTAATAGTGAAAACCCAATTTGAAAATCTTGTCATCCAGACTTCTAAATCTCTAGTGTTCCATACTGAATTTAGCTATTCGTGGTGGTGTTTTCTACATCTGTAAATATATGTTGCCTTTAAAAATGGTCTCAATGAAGCTGTCTGGAAAACGGGAGAGATTTGGTGACAATGAAAACTTAATATACAACAACTTAACCAAAACCATCACAGCTTTGTGGCAGAAACATGGACAGACTTCAGTCTTCTTCATCAGATTTCCTTTTTTTTCCCCTGCAATCTCCTGTGTCAGTCAAGACCCCTGACTAGGAGCTCTCCAGGGGAGGTATTTTGTGACAGAAAATGTCCCTTTAAGGAAATTAAATACTATTTGATGCTGCGGTGACTTGGCCACACTGGAGCTTCGGGCTGGCTCTACGGTGCCACTCCGGCACGGGCAGTCACCAGGAGTGAGGAACTGCAGGGGGAAGGCAATCCCACTGCAGAACCTTTGGAGCACTGAATCCTGCTGGGCTCTGCCAAACCAGGCATTGTGGGTGGTGGTAAAAGGATGGAGGAGACTCTCTTGGTAGAAGTTCCCAGGAACAAGTTTATTCAGGAGAAGGGAGGAACATGAGGCTCCGGGCTGCAAAATCTCAGGACCAAAGAGAACCCTGAGCACTTTTGTGCACTGGGTTTTATCCAAGGGGAGGGTACAGTCCAGAGTCCAATGGGAGCTCATGGTGGGAGGGGTGAGGGGAGGAGGTTACAATCCCAGGGACCAATGGGGATACAAAGAAGGCGGGAATGTAACATATCAACCAATAAAGTGTTGAGGAATGGAGGACATACATGGAAGGATCTGGAAGGAGAGGTGGGGTTTACAATGATGAATGGGGAGTTGGGGCGGGGTTAAGGTGATTGATGAGGAACATTCAAGAAAACTAGGAGGGGTTTACATGACAGACAACTGGAACCTACCAAAGTAATCAATGGGGGAAAACCAGGAACATACCAACAGACAAAATACTAAAAATTTCAACAGAATTAAATAAACATATTACAACAACTATTTAGGATGCAGACAAGCTGCAGAAGCTTAAACAGTCCTTCTTCAATAGCTCACCCAAAATCAGACCATTTTCTTCCCTGTTTGTGCATGCTGACATCTGCCTCCCCTCTAGCCTTCTCCACCACCGTAAGAGCCAGGCAGGGAAAGGGAGGCTTGACCTAATGGCACAGGACTGAAAGGGTCTTGTCATAATCAGTTTATAGATCAGCCATCAAGGAAGTAAAAAAATCCCCATAATTCTAATACCCATTCAAGAAGAAAATTTTTAAAAGCCACATCAAAACCCAAATGTATTTTTCCCCATGTGAAGTGTTGTTAGATACCAATCAGCTTTATTCAGACTCCAGAAAGAAATGAAATCTGAAACCTGCAGACAAATGGCTCCTTTGCTACACACCTCTTATTCATCCCCAGAGCAATTCCATCTCATGCACAGTCAGAGGCAAAATCCTGTGGACAAAATGGTATATAATCATATAATTAAATCTGCTGAAGAGACAAACCTCAGGGATGTAACTGACGCTATATGGGCACCTCGAAGTGTAGCCCATTCATATGTAGGATATAGAATTACAGCATAGATGGAGCTTGCAGTATTGGAGCGTTATGCTTGAGCTAATGGAGTGACTGCTAGAAGCTGACCTTCAGGGTCAGCAGTCAGGAAAGGGTGCCAGGCCTTCTCCTTTCACAATTAACACTCGCAGCATAACAGCTCCCCACCACCAGTTCCCCCATGGCTGCCCCTGCCCCATCTGTCTCCTCCTCCGCTCATCCTCGTCCCTAATTTTTGCTTCTTAGACATCAAAGAGGGCTGAGAAGATGAAAAATGGTTCTATGAGCAGTAGTTCTGTTTCTGAGTCTCAAGCAGATTACTTCAATTGCAAGAAATTGCTAGAAAGTGAAGGCTTTCTGTGTTGCCAGAATTCTGAGAAGGAATATGCCTGAAATGATTCTTCCTTACCTTTAAGTTCACATCAATTATATTTTGTTCCTCTTCAGCACTGCTAATCCTGGCTTACCTTCAGATAAAAAAGAGAAAAAAATTAGGTCAGTGTTTGAATATGTGTGATACACAGACTCTAAAAGGAGATAGACAACTCCAAATTTACTTTTTAAACAACTGAAATTAGTTTTAAAGACTTTCACAAGATTCTGAGTGTCCTTAACTCCTGCACTGTTGTGAAAAACCTATATAAAAGCCAACACAATATCCTGAGGAAAAAATAAAAGGTAAATTAATCTAGAAGTTACACCTAACACAGAAATGTTAATTAAACAGTACAGCTGGCACTGCAACTGAAATAATCTTGTCTTTCTTTTATCAGCAGCAATATGGAAAATTATGTCAGAAAGAAAATAGGATTTTCAAGTTGATTGTGACCTCTTTAATTTATGACCTGGTTTTAATGGTACAGCCCATACTGCAAGCATCTGATCTTGTCTATTAGCAGAACTGGGGGCTGTCTTCTCATCTGTTCACTGCTGTATGAAATTATAAACTACAGCAGAAACCCTAGAGTGGCTAGGGAGAGAGTTTTACCCCAAACTTGTTAAAGAAGCCATAAATTCTAAAATCCAAACTGCTGCAGTAGACAAATTACCTGCTCGTCTGAGGCACATTTGCCTCACAGTCATCACAGACTTTTAGTAGTGACCAACAATTAGAAGAGAGGAACATATGTTGTGGATATGGCTGCACAAACATGACTGCCATTCTCACCTCTAGATCTTGTATTTGTTTCCAGTTTCATGCCCCTGCTTGTTCTTTATTTCTCCAGTCAGTCATGATGCCAGCCTCCCTCACAGGCTGCTTTCCATGCCTGGGAAGGACTTCTGAAGCATCTCATTACCCTAACAGAAGTCCTTTCAGGTTATATGAAACCAATGCCTACAGGAAACTCATCTAGTTAGGCTGTTGGTGGAGCGGTATGGTGCTGTCAATTACTTGTTTATACCTGTCTACTTTTCTACACTCCCTTATCACATTGGCTTGTTACGTCCATGTCCGGTTTTTTAGCTGATACCTGCATAGGTGTTGCACAGAGAGGTCCTCCTCCCCACCCTGGGCTCCTCTTCTGTGAGAACACAAGCACAGAGCAAGAACAGCAGCTCTGCTTCACCCAGAGAGATGATAGTGTGCAGAAACAACCTGGGGTGCAGCTGTATCTCTCCCTGAGAGGACCCTGCAAGAAGAGCAAGCCCAAGCGAGTATGACCCATGGTAAATGACCTGGTATCTTGTTTTTGTCTGCATGTAGTATATGAAATAGACAGGGAGTTCTGTTCTCCTGTTTGACACCCCTCAGGGGGGTTTAAGAATAATGTGTTCTGTTCAAGTGGTACTGGAGAAACCTGGAAGCCTAAAATAGCATCTTTGGCGGCAACACAAAGAAAGAATATCCAGATGTAACAAAGCTAGGCATAAATCCATTAAGCATCCTGTTCTCTTTCAAGCACATTTTGTGAGTACACCTGCTCTATATACAGGCTGTATCTAGTCCATGAAAGAGCTTTGTCTATTGTGGAGCACAACACTTACAGAGGTCCTAATGACTCCTTTTTGTTGTTGAAAATAAAGATGCATAATTAGTTTAATTTTCAGGAAAAATCAGTCTTTTATCTGAAGCTGCAAATTATTTACAAGTTATTGGACTGTACTACATAGCAGGAGAAAGAAGGCAAATGGCCAGAGTTACTTTTCTGCTTTTTATCCATAACTTCCATGTGGCTGCCATAAAAATGTTCTCAAAAAATGTCCTTTACAATGACTCTAAGTGGAAAACACCTTCCACCTATTGTCACTGTAAAGGTGTGATACAAATCTCATAGCTAGACTTGTAAACTATTACTACTTTAATTCCTGCTTGGCCAAATTAATTTAAAAAAAAACAAAAATTAAAACTTCTGTGTTATCTTAGCTGCAAGACTATTTATTGGGCGGAGGGGGGTGGGGAAGGAAAGTAGTTCCAGGTAATTGGAACATGATTCTTTTACATATATGGTTTTGATAAACAAGTCAAAGATTATAATCACCGTAGTCAAATATCTTTAGTTCAAAGTTCACATCATGATAGAGCACTGCTTGTAAAAATTCCTAAGCTGACTTTATCATGGCCAACGATTTCAAATCTAGGCATCTATATTCACATGCAGGCATTTGAGTAAATTCCCTGGTTTTCAACACTTGCTGCACCACTATGAGCAATTCCTACTGGTCCTTTAGCAGCTTCTTCTCAGAATGAAGAACCTTTCACAAGAAAATTCTGCCTTGCCAGGCCTGGTAAGTCTGGTTTCACGTAGATTCCACAGAATATACATTATGTATTCAAATAACCTAGCAGAGATTAATAGCATCCCTATAGCCATATTCAGGAGTTTAAAAAGACAAAAAAAGGTGACATGCTTTAACACTACTCAGCCTTCTAATGCAAGTTTGCATGTGTTTCCAATGACTGATCACTGAAGAAGTTTATCTGTCTTCTGGAAGAAGAAAAAGAGGTCAGCCATACCTATATGCTATCATTAAGGCTAAAGATCTCATGCTAAACCTAAGGCCTAGAGATGACTGTAGGGAATGGATGCAAGAACTCAAACAATTCTGAATAAGCAATAGAAATGAGGATTAGTGAGCCATTCTGATGAGCTAATTGTATCAAAAACTTTCATAAAGTTATCAACTATTGTCTGTCAAAAAGCACGTAGAGAGAAAGATAAAGCTCTACTATAGCTATATATGAAATACGTATGTACACATATTTGTATGTGCACATACACATTTAATATTCATATTCATATATGTTTAACATCTACATTTTTGGTGTTCCAATACATACAATCCCTATTACAGAAATGAAATAGAAATTAAATATTTTACTGTCAGGTCTTAGGAAAATTGTTCATTTGGTTCCCTCGAACAAAACACAAGGTGGAGGGAAAAGAGCAGTACCTCACTTGCCCCTACAGCAGACAAGGATTCAACAGCTGAAAAAGACAGAGAAAAGGGTGGAGAACCCCCTTTGTTGATGGAAGCACTGGACCCTTAACAGAAGGGAGCCAGATGACAAAACAAAGCTGTTTTGGGCGGAGAAGGACACAGTACTCACATCTTCAAGTGGTAACAAAAGAGATTGCATTCTGTAGTACCCCAGGATTCTGTCCATCTGAGTTTATCCTGACCACAATGCTGCATGCTGATAGCATACAGTTGTTTCCTTTACAGACACAGATAATAGCCTCAGTTCTGAAAAATCAAAGAATTATGACCTTTACATTCATTTACATCTATGGACCTGCAGATAGAAACAAGGGGCAAGAGCAGGCAATGATCATCTATCCCTTTCTGCAATTCTCACTTATGTCTGTTTCCTCTTACTGATGCTGTAATAAGTAGAAGGCACTGTTGCCCTCTCTCTCTCTCATCAATGTGGAGAGCATCAGTTGTCATCACAACAGAGATTGCTAATTCCAGGGGGCTGTCTACCCTGCTAGCTCTCACTCCAACAAGGCAGAGAGCAATGCAGCACAGAGGAGGTAGTTGACCCACCCAGGTGGAGCCCTGACATTGGGAAAAATAACAGCTTGATGGGAGCAATCAACTGAGCTGATAACTCCCACTACCTTAAACAGTCTTACTCCATCATAGACAGTAGGACCATTCTGGTTTTGTGCCAAATTAATAATGCAAAGACAACTGAAAGTGGAGAAAATATATTTGCCTGCAGCTTCCTGACTGGGAGGAAACTTTACAAGATTTTCAGAAATGGTTACAATCTCTCCCATTATTCCAAATAAAGTGAAACTGGAGAAAAATAATTAATAATGAGATCTTCCACAGTGCTGCATACAGTAAGCCCAGAGCTGTTGGAGACTTACAGTCTACTTCCATGGGTGCAAAATGTGTGACTTGTTGCCCTTTTGAAAGAATTCACTTGGAGAAGAAACATTTTCCTTATAAGATTCAGGTACCACAACACCCTAATGAATAAGACAAAGCCCTGTAAATTTAAAGAGCTATCAAGTGGAGTAATTAGGGATTAAATTAGTTTGTGTCATAGCCAGTATGGCTATTTGCTTGCAGGACTAAGCAAAATTGTTATGAAAAATAGTCTCATCCACCTGAATAATATAAGATCTTTGCAGGATTTGTGGAAATTGGGAATGTAAGGATGAGACATTATTAAGTGTTGGAAAACTGAGTCCAGGCAATAATATATGCAGAAAAGGACATGAAGGCAAAGCAGAGTTGCAATGAAACGTGCCAACCCCTACTGCAGATGTAAAAACAATCTATTTGATGAAAAAACAACCAACCATCAGAAAATGCCCTTGTTACAATTATCAGGAATACCACATAACAACAAAACATACCAAAACAACAGTTCTACGAGGGCATAACCCTGTTTTTACAAAGTGTCAAGAACAAAAAAAATATATAAATTCATAAACACATAAAAAACAAACACAGAGAGTTATATATATATATCACATACTAGAAAGACAGCTGTGCCTTAAACCCTGACTTATCATCAAGAGCTTAAGTTCAACATTGCCTGGCACTAGAAACCTAAATCCATGTCCTAAAGACTAGTGTCCCTAATCAGATGCACTTATCCAGCCCACCAATTAATTCCAGACCTCTGTTCACCTAATATCATGTACCTCTCTACCCCACACCCTGTGGTCTCTGACCTCAGTCACATCACTGCCCCATCCAGTAGAACAATGGTCCAGAAAACACCATTTTTCTAGGAAGATCAGCTCCCTCAGCCAGATCAGCTGCACAGAAGCTTGATCAGAACTAGTTGCAGGTTCAGAGGATGGAGAACACAGCTCTTGTTTTCTCAGAATGTCCAGGATGCTGGCCAGGCTCAAGGGCTAACAAGCACAAAAGCCCAAGTAACACCCTGGAGTAAAGTGCTGCTGAATAATAGAATCATGCACTCATTTTGTTTGGAAAGAACCACAATGAGCATCGAGTCCAACCATGAACCTCGCTGTGCCAAGTGCCCCAGTAAACCATGTCCCTAAATGGCCCCCCCAAACAGCTTTCATGTGCTGTACCTCCAGGCATGGTGATTGCAGTGTTTCCATGCACAGCCTGTCCCAAAGCTTGGCAAAACATTCAGTGAAAAGTTTTCCTTCCCAGCCAAGATGAACGTCCCCCAGCACAACCTGAGGCCCTTTGCTCTTGTGCTGTCACCTCTTCCCTGGAGGAAGAGA